AAAGCGGGCTACGTATCACTCCCACAGAACTCGATAAAGATTTATTATCGTTGGGCGACCGGAGAATTGAACGCAAAGCGAATAATGAACCGAGTCGTTCAAACCCGCATACTGATTAAAGGGAGGGCGCTCACAGACGAAAAGACCGTCAAGGGAATAGATCGAACGCTCGACTAAGGTTTTCTTTTCATTGAGAAAAATGTTTGGTCACTACAGACTGTAGGTGATTTACGATGCAAATTAACCACAGAAGTTATCACGTTGTCTAAGTCATTTTCCTAATTGAACACCATATCAAAAGGAAATCTATTTCATTCATTCATTCGCATTGAATAGCAGTAAAGTAATTCATGGGGAGATTGCGAATAGCTGGTGCGGCTATTCGCATTTTAATGGTCTTCATCTCACCTACCTTATAAGATATTTGAAAAGTTGACTCAATGTGTGTATCATCGACATTGTGTGGCAATATCAACGCAATATCTCGCAATATCATATGCTTTCTTGGCAATCCATGAGCTTTAATCGAGTCACGATATGATTATTTTGAGTGATTAAAGTAAATACTAAGTTGAAGACTTTGATAATTCTGTTTCAAGATAAATTCGTACCGAAAGAACTGAATGAATCAAGCAAATTTATAAGTCGTCACCTGACAATTATTTTGAACCAAGTCACTTACGTCTACGAAGCAGTAATTTAGATTTAACAGTTAGCAGATCGTGGTTGTGACTACAGGCTATGTCTAAATTTATGTTAAGACTGGTGTCAAGCAGGCCTATTTCACGTGGTTGCATGCTCTGTTATCATTGGTACAATACCTGATACAATGCACATAGTAAGATTGTGTTATGGATATGGTTCAAAATAATTCTCAGGTGCCGAAGTGTAGATACAGACGATTACGCTGATGGCTATATTTAATTTTGTTATATCCGTAATTTGAATATTCCCATGGGATTTTTTGACAATTCTGACTGAAGATTGTCCGTGGAATGCAAATTTCCTATTTATTTTCAATCCAGAATAGATAACTTGGCCAAAATTGGTATCGTTGAAATTTAACGTATGATCTCTTTATGATGGATACATTTAACTGTATTTTCTTCATAATTTATATATTCCTATGGATTATTGCATGATTCTGAACGAAAATTTCGTGTGAAATACAGATTTGCTATTTATTTGGTCAAAACTGCTTTCATTTGGAATTTAACGTCCAATGTCTATACCATAGATACATTTCATTTTTTGTGTACGTAATCGAAATATTGCTATCCAATTTCTGGACGATTCTAAATGAAAATTACTTGGCAATATAACCCAGTAATTTGGTACCATTGGCAATAAAACGTAGAATCCCTTTATGATGAATCTAATTAATTTTTTGATGACCGTAATGAATATTCCTATGTGATTTCTTGACGATTCTGAATGAGATTTACTTGTAGAATATAAATTTGCAATTAAGCATCTTGACCTTCCTACGAAGTTGCAGAGAGAAGAAGGTAAAGCCAACCTTCCTCAAAATGAAACCGCCAAACGTAAGATCCTCATTAGGATGGAATAGGCACTGATACAAGATAGATTCACCAAACTTTTAAAGATCTGCAGTAAATAAGTGAGAGATTACTTCGACTCAACCTCTCATTTTCCAATTCTCTGGCAAGAGAAGACTGGAACAAAATAGATAGAGAATAACCATGGAGACGGCTGAACGTGAATTCCAAGGAAGTCGAGACAGGAAGGTCGACGAATCGTTGGACCGCCGCACCCACAAGAAAAAGAATAACGATTTACCAAGCAAAACGGTCGTCTTCAACCGATTAAGCATTCCATTAACAGATGAGGAAACTACAGTACTCGCCACAGGCTTAAATTATACAGTCACTTCGCTCCAAAGAAACTTCTGAAAGAAGAAATGATCTGTGAAGTGGAAGTGGTTATTCGCAGAATATCTGCAGTAAAAGCAGAACAAATTCGACAAGACATAGATAACAATAAACGAAAGAAGGGCATTGCAAACAATAAGGGAAAAATTGACATTATCGTCCTACCAGCAGACAAAGGGAATGCGACCGTGGTCACGGACAGAAAAGATTACGATAAGATGACGAGCCTTTTGGATCCAGCCACCTATAAGAAAATAACAAAGGACCTGACCATGAAGACAGTAAGGAAAATAAAAGTATTGGCAAAATCTACAGGAATCCCAACTGAACAACATAGCAGATTATTCGTATCGGCCCCAGCACTGCAAAAATATATGGATTACCTAAAATCCATAAACCAGGTGTCCCACTACACCCTATTGTCAGTGCCATAACTTTTCCTACCTATCAGCTAGGAAACAGAATCATATGTCAGCGATTCTACACATTTTGTGGAATCAATCAGGAGTATGAAGTTTGATTCCCAGAATATTCTGGTAAGTAGTTCGACGTGGAATTTCTATTCACCAGAGTACCTGTCAAAGCTGCCGTGGATGACCTTCGCGAGAAGCTCATCCCGGAGGGTTTACCAGATTATGTCCCAGAGCTGGTGAAGTACTGCATATCATCGACATATTTTTTTTAGCTAGCAGGGAGAATTCTATGACTCGTATTTGACAACAGCCACTTAGTTGACATTAATTAGTTATTAATTATCTTTTCCTGTATTTATTATCAAACTTCGAACTTACCGCACGGCTTAACCCGAAAGCTTCTAGGTCTACTGTTAGTTCTAGTTTTAGTTTAATACAAATGCGCTAAAACTGATACCATTTGGAATTTAACATAGAATCCCTTTATGATGAATGCAATTAAGTTTTTATGTCCGTAATTGGAATAATAATACCGTAATCGTCCATGATTATGGACGAAAATTACCTGTAGAATATAAATTTGGTATTTATTTTGTCTATACAGGGTGATTCACATAAGAACTGATTCAGAGCAGGGACATGTAGAGGACAATAAATTAAGATGATTTAACGTAACTTATACGTTATGGGTGTACCAAGGGTATTAATTGGTAGCAAATTAAACTCAATTGAGGCATTTCATAGGATTGATTAAGGGTGATGGTACCCTTCAATTTTGACAGATTTTAAATTCCACATGAAATGGGGTAATAATGTATTAAATCCACCAAAAGGTTAAAAAAATCTATCAAAATTTAGCGGACCATCACCCTTAATCAACCCTTTGAAATGCCTCATAATGGTCTCAACTTGTTACCAATTAATACTCTCGGTACATTCATAACGTATACCAAATTTGGTTTTTCTAGCTTAATGTATTACGAAAATATTGAATGTTTTAAAAGTTTAAGACCCAACTTTGAAGGCCTATAACTCCTAAAGGGTACAACTTAGTATAGAGATAAGTTGTGTTAAATCATCTTAATTTATTGTCCTCTACATGTCCCTGCTCTGTGTTGGTTCTTATGTGAATCATCCTGTATATGTCTGCATTGGATAAATATGGTCAAAATTGGTATAGTGTCGAACTTAACCTACAATCTCTATGTGATGAATACATTTAAGTTTTTCTGCCCATTACTTAAATATTTCCATGGGATTTTTTGACAATTCTGATTGAAAATTGTTTGTGGAATACAAATTTTAAAATCCAAAACGGAGAACTTGAATTGAAATTGATTTTGAATGAAAATTGTTTGTAGAATGCAACTTTGCTTATTCTGAAATCCAGAATAAATTGAATAAAACTGACACAGTTTGGAACTTACCGTACAATTTCTATAATGATGGACACATTTAATTTTGTATGCCCATAATTTAACAATTTCCATTAGATTTTTGAACCATTTCGAATAAAAATTACCCATGGAGTCCAAATTTGATATTTATTTTGAAATCAAGAATGTATAACTTTATAAAAATTGGTTAATTTTATAAATCCATGAATTCAATATTCCCATGGGATTTTGACGACTCTGAAGGATAATTTAACAACTTAATTATTATTAAATTAATTAATTAATTTTTATTGTAATGAGATTTGCATCCTATAGTTTGATACTAATTATACCAATAAATTTCTTCTATTAAAGAAAATAAACTTAATTATTATATCGTGTTATGTACAAATGGTTAGATAGTAATCACCCCTTGGCATACAAACACTTTACACAACAACCATTAAGACCGCTCACCAGAAATTATGGTGGCGATTATGGAACCTCTGCACTGATCGTAATCGCCCCACCTAACGGAAACTGCAAATGGATATTGTTCATGATACACGGAATTATCGTGAAACAAAACAATATTGCACTTCCGGTTGTAAGAGCTTAAAATCCATCAGATGTTTATTTCAAATTAACGCTAAAATGTATTTTCATAATACTTCAGTTTTTTTTATTCGGATGTGAATTCATCGCTGTACCTAGATAAAAAATAGCAAAAACTACCATTAGTGATTTTGGGTGTTCGCAATCATCATTCCAATCATGTGTCGCGGGTTGTAATTTCGCGGCCGTCTGGCAGCAACCTAGTTTTATGGATTGACAAATAATCACGTGATACAATCGCATTCGAAACCGCATTGGGAGCGAATACCATCTATTTAGTTTATTAAATAGTAAGCGATCCGTACAATTACGCATAATTTGACCGCAAATGAACGTTCGCGCCGTTAGGGGCTAGCGCGACACGCGCTTTACCCGATCAATCGATGCCGAGACAAAATAATTACCAGAACTATGGTTTTGCCTAACATTTGCATACATAACAGAGTCTAATCAAAATCGAACCGTAAACGTTAATCGCGTATGCTATCGATACGGTGCATCACTTGCTACCATCAAACATCGCCCTTTGACGATACATTGCTTTTAATTTAATCTAATGATCCACTCTAATCACTGCAAATCCTATGTTTATATTTACGTATAAACATATGAGAGATGCCTCGTGCTAGTAGACGATGATGGCAACGCGCGGTGATAAATCCGACACGTCAATTAGTCACAACTGATTAAGTGGGGCAACTTACGGTTCAAGTCGAGGGAAACGGAGCTCGAAATTGGCGTCATCAGCTGATTGTTGGCCGCTTGACATGTGAACACATTATGCAGATGCTTCCTTTCGAGCTTCTCTAGATGCAGAATGTTTCTCACCCGGCGTTCGGATAAATGCTCGAACGTCGTATCAAGTCTTGTATTCTCCAACCACCATGTCACTTCTGGAGGCGGTCGACCTATATACAGATACATACACAATTGATAACCGCTACTCTAAACAATACTCTTCAAGTATACGGAATTTATTTACTAACAAGGGAAGTATCAGAACGGACCCTCACCGATTTCGTTGCAATTAGATACGTTTTTTTATATGTGCTAATAAAGACCCTGTTGCGAGTTATAAGGGTTGATAATCGGGGCAAACGGTATATATTCGATTATAGCTTGAAGACAAAAATAGCTATCGAAATGTGATAAATGTAAATTGATATTCATTTTTAAGTAGCTTTTCTTTGATATATCACACATATATGTCTGAGGGCTTCAGGGGGTAAACTGCCCCTAGTTTTTTGGAATAATTTAAAAACTACTCAGTCGATTTTTAAGGCATTAAGTACGTTTAAAAATATTAATTACGTATTTTTTCCGATTTGCCTCTGATCAACTCTTACAACCCAAATAACCCTTTTCCGTAAGAATGATGTGATAAAACTGTTACGCTTTTGAACATTTTTTTTTAAACTCCTAAATTAGTTGCAAATTAAGATCTATACAGTAATATAGGCCCTACACGACATTTAGGGGTGGCACTCCCAAAATTAAACTTTTTGGGAGTATTGCTTTTCAATTTTGGTGCAATTTAGTACGATGATTTCATTATACGTTAAGTCGTACTTTTGAAAGGACTTATAAGGGTTTGAAGTATGGAGTAGAAAATATATTTTCTATTTTATATACAAATTTTCTTTTTTTAAAGAACTTTTGAAAACAACAACCGATGTGAGGATAAAAACTATGGAAAGTGTGGTCAGTCTGTGTCATCAACAACCCATAACTAAATATTCAATATCGGCAAATGAAAAACCACTTTCTTTTCTTTTAATTGAATTAAAGGAATCCTCTGGCACGTATAGACCGACAGCACTAAATATAATGTTCAAAGCAGATAACGTATTCGTTTTGGCATCACAGTCTGGTAAATTAACTTCTGCCCGCATGAGAAATTGGCTACAAAATGTGTATTTTCCAAACATCGGAGCTGTGCATTTGCGGACCCATGTTTATTAAGATCTTTTTATTTATTTTGGTCTATAACAGTGTTTCCCAACATTTTTTATCTTGCGAAGCGTTTATAAGTAAGAAAAAAATTGACGAAACCCTTGTATAATTGTTACTTACAAGTAAGAAAAGATAAAATGTTGTAGATTTTTTTTTATTTTCCTTGTTATACAAGACCATTATATCATATAAGAGAATTGATACAACACTTTTAATTCATAACAAAAAATAAAAACATAATCGTAAAAAATCTAAATACAAACTTTTCATTAATAAAGTCTAAAATAATAGATACAAGAAAATCAAAACACAAAATTGACACAACAGTCTTAATTAGATACTTGCGCCTATTTGCTAGAACACAGAAATTCAAAGTTAGGCTCAATGTCTGACAGTTTCAGTCTTAAATCAGGTTCTGCATTTAATCTGTTTCTGTATTTATCTTTCAAGTAAGTATATGTGGAAAATCCTTTCTCACATAGATATATTGTGCAAAGAGGTAACTTTGATAGCTTTTTCTGACAATATAGCGTATTCATTTCCAATACTGAGTCAAAAGTCTATTAAAGAGTGGTCTTTAAAAATCGCTTTAAAGGAACTATCACAGGATAACTCAGAAAGTTTTTCGTTTTGCAGTAAAGTTAGAGATATGTATCTCTAAATACAGATATTTTTGGAAAGGACTACATATCTAATTATTTATTGGAGATATAGTGCGTCTATTAGGGAAGTATTCCTAAAAAGTTAATTAAATATATTTGAGAAGTTTAACTGAGTTTTCGGATAAAAAACTGTTGAGAGAACTAATGTGAAGTAATAAAGAAACGTGAAGACTCTCAAAGTCTTCACAAAGCGCATGAAATAGACGGGAATTAGTAGATCGCGATTTTATAAAGTTTACAATTTTTACAGCATCATTTAAAGTAGTAGATAGTTCAGTAGGAATATGTTCATATGCTAATGTATCTATGTTTACAGCAATGTGTCCATTCAATTATTTCATTGATGTTCTTTACCCGTGCCACAAAACCAGAAAAGTTTCCTGTCATTGATTTTGCACCATCCTTTCAAAATAAAGGCAATAAAAGCACATCTTCCTGAATGCAATTCTCAAAAGTGTATCTAACATACGGATCGTAATATAATTCAATTTAATTCTTTTCAAAAGCTCATTCTCCACATTACTTGCCATATCATAAATTCTACGCGATACTGTATTATTTGATAAAGAAAATAGGTCAAATTTGTTGATGCCTTTTCTCCAAGCGTATACTTTGCAATATCTTTTGCACATGGTCCAATTAAATTTTCTGCAATTGTATTTGCCTGTCCAGATTTTGCAATTCTATAGCTTACTCGAAATGATGCCTCAAGCGCCATTTTACTATCTTCTTTTGAAGCTGACAGAAAAGAAGATATACTACTCTTTCTATAATCAGCCAATTGTCTTCTAAAATACTCGACAGGTTTATCCTTGTATGTCGGATGTTTGGTTTCAAGGTGTTGACGAAGAAGTGATGATTTTAAACTGCTGTTAGCAAGCACTTAATTGCAAATTACACAAAGCGAGGTTCTGATTCTTCCCTAGTAAAGTAAAAACCCATTTGTAAATAGTCGCTGTCATATTTTCGCGTTTTTCTTTTCTTCTTACCAGTTTCATCAATTTTTCTTTGTATTTAGTCGGCTGAAATGGTAGCTCACTACAGCTCTCAATATCATCGTCCATTATTGTGTTGATGGCGCACACATCTAAAAATAGTAAACTTTATTCATGCATCTCTATCTTTTACTATCTTTGGGAATTCCCGTCTGCGATACCCAGAGATACGGTTTAATAAATATTACAGACACAATACGAGAGATGGCATTAGTTTGATATTAAAGGTATTATAGTTAATAATTTTTCAGGTAACAATACATTTTTTAATTGAAGCAAAAGGTGATGACACGCAATAAATTGCTGTTTTTATATCTATGCAACTTTATAATATATGTCTGATAAATTGTTTTAAATGTTTTAGTTTTATTATTTAGTCAATTTTTAGTTTACCACTACTTCTATAAAATTCCGCCATTTAATATTATTATTGCGAACCCTTTTGAAACAACTCGCGAACCCCCGGGGGTTTCGCAAACCACCCATTGGGAACCATTGGTCTATACTATTACCTCTAAATATTTTACTTTCTTTTTTTAACACCCTGTAGAGAGGAGAAACCAGAACAGTTTGAAAATCCCGTGAAGGTGTTTTTCGAGTGAAAAATCAACAAGGAATATCTGTGACGATATGGCTGTTATATCTAACAATTTTTGAGTTTAAAACATTTTTTTCAAGATTTCCATTATTGCCAACAATACGTTGAATAAAAATAAGTTAAACAAAAAGAAATTACAATAATACGTTATTATTACCCATTATTACTAAATATTTAATATGATTATCTTAACTTTTGTGTTATTTAAATAGAATAAGGGTAGTAAACCTCATTAAACATGGACAAAAAGTTGTTTAAATATTAAATTTGTATTCAACATTTCTGTATAGCAGTTTCAAAATTATGAGCGGAAATATATTTTACCTAATTCCATTATGAAAATTAAATTTTACATGTCTTTCTGACGTTATGTAACGTCACTTTTTTTATAACTAGTGATGTAATGATTTCCATTACCTAATTACAAATTTTTTAAAATTTTGAACAAAAATTGCTTTGTCAATGGAATTAGATAAAATTTTGTACTTAACACGATATGAAACGGCTAATTTTGTTTGACGAACGTAATCTTTGCCAAAACGAGCGAGCGAAGCAAGTGAGTACGGTAATGAAAGCTATTACAGTACTCAAACGGGTTCTGTAATGAGACTTCTTACATCATCCGATGCAGTAATGAGATTTTAGTAACGTTTTATGGAAGCAGTTCAAGTTGGTGACATTGGGTCATTAATTTTTCTAGTTGTCAATGTGACAATTTGAACCACGTGTAAATTTAGCGTACTGTTGTTCGTACCTTCCGTGGGACTTCTCAGAAGTAGTGTTTTAATAGAACTCTGAGCAATTCCTCTTATTTCGGGAAGTGTACATGAAACATTTTTTTCAGGTGAATACATTTTGTGTTTTGACACTTTCTAATAGTCAATTCAAATTTCTATTTTCAAGTGTTACGGTGTTACCAACTGCTACATACCTATTTCTCTACATTGTCAAAATTTATTTTATTTTCGTTAAAAAAAAGGATAAAAACGCGAATTATACAAAATAGCATAAAAAGCACATTTCATAAGGCTTAAAGCACTCATTCATTAAAAAACTCGTGGCTTTGCCACTCATTTTTCAACTTGAATTTGTGCAATTTAAGCGTGTCTTACGAAACTAGTTTTTTAATATACTATTACCTAATTCCATTATGAAATTAAATTTTACATGTCTTTTTGACGTTATGCAACGTCACTTTTTATAATTAGTGATGAATTATGTTTTTATTACATTACTAGTGATGTAATGAATTCCATTACCAAACTAGAAATTGATAAATTGACATCTGTCACTAATAGAATAAATTTTGAACAAAAATTGCTTTTTCAATGAAATTAGATAAAATTTTGTACATAGCACGTTATGAAACAGTTAATTTTGTTTATCTCACGTAATTTGTAAAACTCGCATATTACGTTTGTCAAACAAAATTAGTCTTTTCATAACTGGTTACGTAAATAACTATTCTACTCCAAACTTTTAACCCTTATAAAATGGTTAACTATTGCACCACGTAACTTCTTAAGAGATGGTCAGAGGTAAATGGGAAAAAAACACGTAATTAACATTTTTAAACGTACTATAAGGGTACCCCGATTTCCAACCCTTATCACACGCCCCAGGGGCTTTATTAACACGTATAAAAAATACATAAACCTCATTTTGGCCCATACTATCGTTGTACCTAATTGCAACGAAATCGGTGAGGGACAGTTCTGATACTTCCCTTGTAAGTACATATAACAGGAGTAATTATGTGTAAATGAAATAGTTTCGCGCTCGCTGCGTACCGAGATTAAAACGCGGACATTTTCAATTTACTCCCCGTCCGGGTTAACATACAATTTAATCTGTTACCTGCACGTAGGACAACGTACAGTCCCGGAACTTTAACAAGGACCCCCTCTGTAACCACTTCAGACATCAAAGTTAACGATAACGTATAATTAACTTACCTCCAGTAGCGACGCAAGTGATGTTAATGGAAGATCCCTCATTGTAAGGACCTAATATGTAGTTGGGGATGTGGTAGCCCCTCTCGTCTAGAATACTGAGTTTTTCGGGTGGGACTAGAACAAAGTTGAGGTTATTATGAAATTCTCGGGGCGTTACAATGCGGTTGCATGGCAAGATATGTGCAAAATGTGACACAGATGCTTCGAGCGTCAAAGGGCGATCTTAACATCAAACGGAACTACGCCTAAATACTTAACCGGTAAAGACGTATTTCTCATACGTTATTCGTTTCACAAACACGTGCGCGTTAACATATTTGCAAGGGTGTTTGTATTATCGCAATATAACTCAGCCGCCTATGTAGCGGCAATAATTATAAACGAGAGCAATATCTAACGGGATGAAAAGGGAGAGAAAAGATAAAGGATTCCAGTGTACACGTTATGAAACAACGAAGGCGATAAATTCGACCAATTTCGAGGAATTTAATATTTACGGTATTTCTAGTAGGGGCTACTTGGTTCCCAATAAACAAATGACGAACCAATTTCCGGCGGATCCTTTGATAAAACGCTTGACGGTATATTTCAATTTCGTTTATGAACTTTGCCCATAGCCGCTCTAGTTCAGTCCTCCGAGATTCTGCTTTAATTATAGAATGCAAATTCGGTTAAAACGATAAAGAAGAATCGTCGATGTTCTGTACACCTATAGAGGTTGCTCCGAACTTCGAACCAACTTTACCGTTTTATTAGTTTTAATATTTTCTCGTTAATGAGTAATTTTAATGAGTAACAAATTTACAAAGTCGTTTTTGTTCTTTAGTAAAACAATCTAATAGTTTTTCTATCACATAAGGGTATACTTTGAAGAAAAGGTTACTTTTAACTTTTCCATTTGCTGTAGTGGGCGTTCTGGTACAATTAGTTGCCGCACTATAGGAAAGAAGCTCACGTCGGCGTCGGTACGGTCACGGTCCGCCAGCCCAGTGGAGTTGTTATCCCAAATTGCTCTGGATTTTCCCTCTCGTAGGTTGCTCGGGTGACCTCTTAGTCCTTATTACAGAAAATGGCATTACCCACTAGCTGCCATTTCATGCCGGCAAACGAATTTTAGCAGGTCTCTCGACGCAAAATTAGTATTGAAGCCAATGTGCCGATTTAGGGGTTTCCATTTTTTCGATTACATGTAGACAAAGAAAATGAATTTTATTTAAAGCATTTCATTTTGACTTTATATCCCCTTTCTTTCCTCCTTTTTTTTTGAAAAGTTTTATTTAAAGCCAACGTTGCGTTTCACTCCTGTCCCGTAATTTTATTTCTTCCATCGTACATTTAATTTGAATTCGTAACGACGGTTTATTTAACAGGGCCGACGGCGCCCTACCCCAATCGATAATTCAAAGTAACGCTGAAAACTTTGGAATTCTCTTTGGGTGTTCCGGGAAGTAAGCGTACGAATCTGAGCCCATTCTTCGATACAATTGAATGCGTAACACAATCGGAAGGTACACAAATCCGCACCTTAATGCGGACCTGGAAGCAACGTTCTAGTTTGAGCCCTGAATTATTAATGAATAAATTATTCCCTCGCTGAATTATTTCAATAAAGTTTGTCAGTAAACGGTGAAAAAAATTGCTATGAATTATGCATTTCTTTCGTATTCGGAAATTGAAAAGAGGTATCGGTAGCTTAGTAATAAAGAAATTAACATTAAACTATTCAATATGAATAAATTACTTGTTAATGTAATTTCATAAGTAATTATAAGTTACCGTATACGATGTAATTCCACATAACACAAACCTTATTTACCCAGGATGTGCAATTTTGACGAAAATTATTGCGAATTTGCTGGATATATATTTCAGGAGTAAGCAGCAAACGGGTTACTCGGTTTCATAACGTAGTCCAGCACAATTTGTATGTAAATTTGGGATAATGGATGCTTGCTAGCGTGGCGAAAGGACTCCTCCCGGCACATACCAGGTCGACATAAAAATAACCCGCCTATTGGTACCACAAAATAGCTATACTTATAAGAAATCCGTACGAGATTTGAGATGCGTCAAGATCGTCACGCCACACCCACCATCCATCTCCGTGGTAATTACCGCATCGAAATCGATCCACTATACGGGTGCATATTATAGAGCCTTAGGACTTAGAACCGCTTCCTTTCGACCTCTTGTGTTAAGGGCGTCTTTACCACACCGCGTTCCTCTCAATTTCCATAACAACTTGGCGAAAGCTCGCCAGTCTACTTGGATGACCGCTCGGAGTACCGCTGTTGGGGAGGTCAGAAACAGATGTAATCTCCCTCTGTTCATTGATGCCCGAATCCGGGGACTACATATACCCCGGATTAGGAACTGAAATCGGTTATGCGGTCTTATCTCAAGTGCAACTCGGCTATTATAAGGTATTACCGCTTTAAAGAGTAAATTATGAAGTTATTTTAACAAGTCTAATAAATATATCAAAATTTATTTTTAATAATTATAAATTAGATTATTTGAGAATAAATAAATCTATGACACATCTCAAGTCAACCAATAAGAGGGCAAGGAAACGTTGCAAAAAAGGCAAATTTATTCCTTACTACTACTAGTAGAGTTACCTTACTATCTACTAGTGGAGTACTTTGTGAAATTTGATAATTAAAGGTACTCGAGTATGACTTTGATGTTTCTTAATATATTGGTTATCATAATGTCCCAGGACATCTTTAGTCTTCCTCTTCCTCTCTTCGAAGGTGTTCTACTTTGCCATATTTGCTTGACAGATACTTTATCCAGCAGTCTTTGTAAATACCCCCATCAACCCCAAGTTGTTTCTCTTGTAAATATCGTGCAATAGATTTTTATTCCATGCGAAGCTGAGGACACGTCCCCAGCAGGCAGATATAGGAATGCCTTAACAGAGCTGATGTCATTAATAATAATAATACTTTATTCAAAAACGTAACCTTATTACATTTAAATCGTCCACAAAAAAAATACATACAAAAAAAAATTTTATATTACATTAATACTCTGTATTTTTTCATAATATTCACTTGTTGTATAGATCTCATGTTGCAACAATTTTTCTTTCATTATTTTTTTGAACTTTTCAGTGTCAAAGCTTTTAATTTTCGTGAGAGTACATTGTACAGTTTAACTGATTGATAATGGAAGTTATTTTGTGACTTTGAAACTCTATGTGTCCCAACCCAACCCAATATGTCACATCCATGACGTGTGTGATGTGTGATAGTTGTGTGTATCTGCGTTCTTGGATACATGTTCTTTTTCTGTATGTATGTAATTTAAACATGATGGCATTGTTAGTATTTTTAATGTCTTCGTTAGACAACTTTCATTTAGACTACTTAGACTACTTTTTTGACGGCTTTTTTTTTGAGCTTTAAAGATGACCTCAATATCATTTGAAGCACCCCATGTAAGAATACCATATATTGCTATACTGTGAAAGTATGTAAAATACACACTTTTTGTTTCTTTGATCGGTAAAACCCTTGACACCACTCTCAGGCAATACAAGGACGTTTTGTTTTATTTGTGTTATATGTTCTTTCCACGCTAAGGTCGAAGAAAGTGTTATGCCTAGGAATTTCACGGTTTCGTCCTTAACATCCCTTGTTGTTTTGGTGTAAAACGTAAGAATTTTCGTTTTTTCCTTATTTAACTGCAAACTATTTGAGTCAAACCATTTTTTCGCTTGCTCTAACCTTTCATTAAATTTTTGTTGCAGCTGCAGAAGTTCTGTAGCAGAATTAATAAAGGATGTGTCGTCTGCATAGAGACATATTGAATCAGCATGTGTATTGCTTGGCAAGTCATTTATGTATAGCAGAAAAAGTAGTGGTCCGAGAACAGAGCCCTGTGGTACACCCGCTGTTATAGTTCTCCACTCCGAAGAGACACCATTCCCATTTCTTTAAGAGAATATCATGACTAACAGAGTCCAACGCCTTACCTAAGTCGCAGAACTGAGCTTTGCAGTGCCGATGTTGTTGATTTATTTTTTTGGTAACCATGTTGGTATTCTATTATAATATTTTCATTTATTAGATGTTTCATTAGTTCTCTTTTATTATTATTTCCAAGACCTTTGACATTACCGGTAATATTGATATTGGTCGATAATTTTTACTACCCGTTTTTTTTATTGGGGTTATTTTTGCAAATTTTAATTCATTAGGAAAGACTTCTTCTCTCATACATTTGTTTATGGCAACACATAAATATTTCGTTATTATTGGCACCATTTCTTGTAGTAGTTTGGTTGAAATGCCGTAGACGTCTTTTCTGTTTGACTTCTTTAGATTATTTATAATTTTTACGACATCAATGTCTACGACTTTATCAAGAGATACCGCTTTTGTCCGATTTATTTACGTCAAATTTAGCTGCTTGTATGAAATAATCGTTTAGGTCGTTTGCATTTAACGTTGTTTGAATGTCTTTCCTTACCTTTTTCGTCCTGTTTCTTTCCTTACCACTTTCCATGCTGCGGTTATTTTATTTTCAGAATTGTTTATATAATTTTTAAATGTTTCCTTTTTTACCCCTTATGTTTGTTTTCTGAAATCCATTCTTAGGATTTTATACATGTCTTTGTATTGATCCCGTCGTGTTACCTCAATTATGGTATATATTGCGTCTAGTTAGTTTTTCATTGTTTTAAGTTTTTTGTTTTCCCATATCAAAATTGAGTTTTTATTTATCTTTTGATGGTTTCTATTTGATGGAAAAAGGTGTAAGTAGCTTGTGCGTTATTCTTTTGATCGTGTACATCACTACAGTCGCTATTTGTAATTTGTGTTTTCAGTTTTTCGACAGTATGGTTATTAATTATCCTATACTTTATTGATTTTCTTCGAGACATCCCTTCAGGTGATTTATTGATGATTACTAATTGAGCTTTATGATCACCAAGATGTATGCTTAGTGTTTTCTTATTAATTATTTCTTCACATCTTTTCACAAAGACGTTATCTACACATCTTTCTCCTTCCACTCTAGAAGGTTCATTGAAATACGTATGAAGTCCATGCTCTGACATTATTGACAATATTTGTTCTTTCACAGTCGATTTTTCATGTACA